CTGAAAAAGCTTGCCCGCACCCCCAGAACTGTGAGTGGCTATTTCCTGACATAAATTACCCGCAGAACAATCCCACCCCAAACCAACGGGGCCTCTCTCAGCCTTAAGACATTCAAAGGCAGGTGGGGAGGGCCGGCATGGTGGGGAAGTGGGGGGCTGGAAGGACAGAGGGCCCCTTGCATCCTGATGGTGCACCTTTCCCCGGGCATCTGGCAACCTCCCGCGAATGCAGGCTGGGCAGAAAGGCAAAGAATAGTTGCCCATTAAAGCGGCCGTATATTTTTATGGCTTCGATGTGAATCTGCCCCCTGTCGGGTTTTGCATCTGCTGCTCGTCCATCTCTCCCACAGCTCCAAGGCTCGGATATGCGCTTTATAACCCTCAAGTATTTGCCCTGGTTTTGTGTTTCTGCTGTTGGGATTTCCAGGCTGGCGGGGTGATCTTGTTTGCGTTAAATTTGGAAGGTGAGCACCTTCTCTTCATAAGAGAAGGAGGATACGGGTCCCTGACTGGAACTCGTGAGCACAGGGTACCCCTGATGGTGGGGCAGGTCTCTGCCCGGGGCAGCAGAGTCGCCCCTCTGGCGTTTGGCTCAAATCTTGCTGCTTGAGACTCGATGCCATGAGCCTAGCCCGAGCTTCTGGGGCTGCAAGCCCGAAGTTCCCATTTCACTGAGCTCCAGGTATGGCGGCCTTTATTTCCAGCCACCTAAACAGTCCCTGCACCCCCACTCCGTGGTGTGGTCTGGGCATAAATCTTGCTGAAGGTGGGAGCAGGTGGGCTGGGAATGGCGGTGTCAACCAGACACGCTTGAGCATTTGCTCCAGAGCTGCTGCCCTGTTTTCTTTGAGAGAAACTCATTTTTAGCTTATGAGCTAAATCCAATTTTCGCTGCACTGATACCAGATTTTTCACTTTGATTCATGCTGGATAAGGTTTAAAGGGAGCCCTTCCCGGATAATGAACCTCCCTCTCGCTTCTCCCTGCCTCGCCTCCCTCATGCCTAGAACGCAGGCTTTGTCCTGCATCCGCACGGCCACCTGCATGCCGTCCGTGGTCTCTGTGACGGTCGCTTTACATATTTACTAACGAGTTCAGCTGGAAAGAATCCCAGCTCCTAAGTTGGAGCTCGAACATGCCTCTTTCCTCCCTCGCACTCCCTCGCACTGTTCACAAAGAGGCATTCACAAATACTGAATGGGGTGGCAGGTTGCGGCGTTCGTGAACGTCGACTTACCCCACTCCAGAAGTGGAGGACGCTGCACTTCCAGGCCACCTGGTGTGGGTTACTTGACACGGTTGCCTGCTTGCTGTATCCAGACTCCTGAACTGGCTCTGATAGATGACGTGGTAACTGGAGTCAACCAAAGATAAGAGTCAGTGGCACAAACTGAGCACGGAATTGAGATGTCTGCTCTTTGCATGGCTCAAGGATAAGCCTTTCTGGTTTTGTTTCATCTGTAGCTGAGTCATCTATCTGGGTAATCGCTTTATGGACACGTTTAACCATGTCATGGTATCTGCAAGCCAGCCTGGTAAGCGAGGGGGGGCGGAATCAGGGCCTCCCACCTTTAATCTAAAGGCAGCCTGACAAACAGGCTCTCTCGCATTGAAATTAACCAGTTGTCTGAGTGTCCGAAGGGAGCCAGGTTGTCCCAACCCAGCCACGGGGAGTGAGGGGTCCTCTCATGGGGAGGGGGTCCCTGAGGCACAGCTAGAGAGCAGACAAGTTAGGGATTAGAAGGATTGGAGATGATCTTTCCCTTGCTCGTGGTTGCACGCCATGTACAGCATTCAGAGGCGGTGATGTCAGGGCTGCAAGAGATGCTGTCTGCGCGGTGTGAAGGGAGTGACATGGCTCAGTGGCTTTTCATAGCTGTCACCTGTCTGGGGGACAGGCTGAGCCCTGCTTTACTCCAGAACGAGAAACTGATCTTCGAAGCCTGTCACTAGGCAGCAATAATAGCGAATTTAAGTGAACAGAGGGCTCGGAAGCATTCCAAGTGCAGTGATTTGTCCACACCATCTCCCTTTTCATCAGCCCCACACCTGTCCCGAGGCCTGCCACTGATGGCTGAGAGGCTCGGCTGGCATGGACGTGGCTGTGGTTTGTCTCAGGCCACGAGTGAGCGCCAGCTGGGCTGTCGGTAGCCTGTTTCTCTGCAAATCCCGACAGGACACTTTAGACAGTGGCAGTGAGGACAGTGCTCTGGAAGGTGAGGAGGACGGAGACTACCAATTGATGTCCAGGCACCATCTTAGAGAGCCTACGTCTGCCTCGTGCCAGGCACCTTCAAAATCAATGAGCAGAGCAATGGGGGGAGGAAAGGATGAAAGGAAGAGGCAGGAAACACCCATCAGTCAGGAAGAGTAAAGGGGGCCAGCATCTGGACAGCAGCAGGGAAGAGACACCGAGACCCCACATCCGGGAGAGTCAGGGCTTCGGCGTGGAGCCTCTTCTCCAGGTGTCTGCTGGGAACCTCTTCATTTAGCCTGCAGTGGGAGGGAGGAGATGAAAGCCAGGGCTTGCTGCTGGTCCTCCCGCTGGCCTTTACCGGGACACCCCCCTAGTACGCCCCAGTGGAGGAGGAATTTGGCCGATTCTCCCTGTGACGATGGGTGCAAAATGGGACCCCGGCCCTGCACTGGCAGCGCGGCTCACGCTTACGCCGCGCTCCTGCTCGGCTTCTGTTTCCTGTTCTATCTCAACATCTAAATCCTCCAAGAATTATTGTAAAACCTGCTTGTCGCTGAGAGGGATCTTGTCTGGCTGGCCCTGCCCCAGAGCCAGCAGTAACGAATGGGGCACTATAATTACCGTGTTTGCTCACATAGGCAGCCAGCTGCTCGGCCAGATTGTGAATTTTTCATTTTCCTTATTTCAAAGGCCGAGTGTTCCTATGAAAACTTAATATTTGAACCATGGCAAGATGGCGTCCGAGCCAAAGCAACTCAACTCCCCCGGCCCTGGCGCCGAGATTTCCTGTCTGCCTGCTCCCGGGCCTCCCCAGGGTCGGGACTGGACCCCGTGAATGTGGATAGCTCTCTGCATCTCAGCCACATCAGCTGAAACCTCTTCCTGGCGACGGGGGGAGGGGTGCGGGAGGGCTGCCGAGAGCAAGCTCCCCGCGCACAGCTTGTCTTTAAGAACAGCCACAGAGATTAAAAACAGCGCCATGGCCTTCTCAGCTCAGAGATAAAGTCTTCCGGGACTGACTCTGCCATGCTAGTGTTTTGCCCCCGTGGTGAGGGGAAGGTGGGGCCGGCTCAGGGAGCTGCCTGGCTGCTGGGCCCTGCTGGCCAGGCTGCCCTTCGGTTGAAGGGGTTGGACGCTAGTCGGCCATGGCATGCCATGGCCCGGGGAAACCCCCTTCCCAGCCCTGACCCTTCAACAGATGCCATAGGGGTGCAGGGTGCGGTTCTCAGGCCTTGGGGCTCACTGCCCCCCTGTCTCGGGAAGCAGGAGACCCCCCCCCACCAGTGTCCTTTCTAGCCTTCAACAAAATCACCTGCTACAACCCTCACGGTGGGGGATGGGGGCTGGGGGGGGGAGGAGGTAATGGTGGGGGCTTAGGCTCCCCAAGGTGTTGGGAGGAAGGGTGCCCCTCTCAGCAGTTTGGCTGCAGAGTGGAGACAACTTTAACACAGTCTGAGAAACAGCGCTTGCAGAGGTCAGGCATCCCCAAAAGCGCCCAGGAAAAGTGAGGTGCCTAAGCTAAGTTAAAGGGGCTTTATGCTTCTGTGGTCAAGGACACCTGCCTCCTCCTGCTGCCCAGACCCCAGTGAGAGGCCGGGGAGGGGAGGAGCCCCCCCCCACCCCCCGGAAATGAGGAGGCGGAGGGAGCGGCGAGAAGGGGCAGGGGAGGTTTGCTGGGTCAGGTGTCCGTCCTTCTCTGCCTGCCCTCATTTGCCTTCTGCTCAGGCAGTAAAACCGTCTACTCCCCTGTCCACTGTTAATGACCTGGGGATGAAATCGGGGGGCCTCTGCTGACTGGGGTGGGGAGGCAGAGTCTGCCTCCAGGACCTGGCAGACTCAGCAAAGAATAGGTGCCAAGAAGGCTGACCTGGGGGAGGAGGGGGGTGCACAGCACAGCCCCTGGGCAAAGGCAGCGGTGGACTGGCCAGCTGCATCGGTGCCTGCACCCTGCGTCCCAGGCCTCCTGAGCCTGGACTCCCTGTGACCTGGACAGCATTGCTCTCTGGGCGTGTCCCCAGCAGAGCGCCCCCTCTGGGTCACCACTGGGGTGACACTGCTGGGGCACAGCCGGGAGAACCCGCTGGTGGCGTCCCCAGAGCTGTGGGTTTGAGGTGCGCTCGGTGCAACAAGGGTGATTCCTGGAGACTTCCTGGGTTAGCACCTGCGTGGGTAGGAAGAAGGGCACCCAGAACTCCTGATCGGGGGGTTCAGTGTCAGACCTCATCTCCCTCATAACACTGGCAGCCATTCTGCTGAGCAAACCACACCTCCCAAGTGGAGACTTCCCCCCTCATCCTCCTCTCTGGCTGGCCCAGTGCACTCACTCAGCCATTATAGTGTTTTAAAGCCTTCTCAGTGGTTGGGGGCAGAGGGACCTTGGTAGCAGGCTGTTTGCCATCACCAGGACACTTGGATCCTGGAGCACGGCGCCTCCGTTAGAAACTTAGCAAGGAAAAAAGGTGGGAAGCAAATAAAAATGGGTCGGGGAAGCTGTGAATGTGTCACACTGCTGCAGTTACCCCGAGATAAGCACCGACACCGGGAAGCGTGTTCTGTGTCTGAGCAGCCCATGCAGGTGGGTGTGCTTTCAGTATGCGCCTGCGCATACGCGTGCACACACCTGCTTACACGAGCACGCACACAGGTGTACGGGCGTGTGCGCGGGCGAGCGCGTGGATGCATGCCGCGTGCGACACACGTGTGTGTGTGTGTGCCGGGAAGGAGGCCAGGTGCCCAGCCGGCGCGAGGGGCCTGCGGGGCGGCGCTCGTCTGAAACCTTTGCTCTTTCTCCTATCGCCCGCAGTGCCCGGCTTCCCGTATCCAGCCGCCACCGCCGCGGCCGCCTACCGAGGGGCGCACCTGCGTGGCCGTGGCCGTGCCGTGTACAACACCTTCCGGGCCGCGGCGCCCCCGCCCCCGATCCCGGCCTACGGCGGGTAAGTAGGGGCGGCCGCCGTGGGGCGCGCCGCCCGGCACCCGCCCCCCTTGTTGGCGAGCATGCTGGTCTTGACGCCCCAGAACGGCCCCGCATGCTGCCGGCGCCTGCGGTAACCACCTTGCAGGGTATTGCAAAATGAGTGTCATGTGTGCTGTCTTGCCTGGTGCCTTCAAGCATTCTACGTGTCACATGTTGTTATGGAAATTCTCCTGGAGACTGAATGCCGGAGGACAGAGAGGTGGTGGCAGACGGAGATGTCTTTCTGATGATGCCAAACATCTGGTCGTTAAGGAGGTTGGGTCACTTCTGCACCCTGAATCTGGCCCTCCGTGGACTGAGGGCTTTCGAGCCTAAATTCCCCTAGGGGTGGTCTTGTTCCCCAACCCCAAACCATCTTGCTCTTCAAGGTTTCTGAGCCTTTGGGTAGAAGAGAAAATTAGGCGGGAGACGCAGCAAACATGCTGAATTTGGGGCGATTGAAATGAACCCTTGTTTTTGTCCGATTTTCCAAAATGGCATGTGCCTGTCCCGCAGGCAGACAGCATTGTTCTGTCTGCACGGGGACTTGGATATCTCCAACAGAATCCAAGGAATGGTGGTGAATGCTCAAAACAAAAAGTCCCAGTTGGATAGCATGTGATTCTGACTCCAAAGTGTCCCCTTCTGCCTTCCTGTTAGGGAAACTTCCAGAACATCCCAGCACCCTGAAGCAGGCAGAGTGGGCTGCATCTAAGGCAACAGGCCTCACCAAGGGAGTTGTGTCCTGAGGGGGCTTTTGGGGGGGTCTGAAGTTTTGTTGGTTGTCACAGCGCAGTGGGGACACAGTGTGTGTAGGCGGTAGAAGGTGGGACGCTGCAAGGACTGTCCTGTGACGAGACAGCTCCCCCCACAGAGTTAGCAGGTGCCAGAGAGCTGCTGTGGGGCTCAGCTGTGCCCAGGACAGTGGGGCCTGGCTGACCTGGCAGTGACTGACTGTGTCGCCTGTGGGAAGAATGGGACTGCATTGGGGACCACAGGGAAGGCAGTGTGCAGTGTGAGAGGCTTATAACTCTCTCTTAGGAACCTGACTTAGCCCAGCTTCCGCCATGATACTGATTATAAAGGAAAACCCTGTTGTCACTACCTACTCCCCTCACCCTACCAGGGTAGCACATTCGAAGTATAGAAAAGCAAATGCAGTCAGTGAGATAAAGTTCAGAATGAAAGAAACAAACCCAAAGACACAGCCAGAATGGGAAAATGCAGAAGTAAGACTCATCCCCATCTAGGGCCGAGGGTTCAGTTCTGAACTGCTTGGAGAACAATGGCAAGAAGAAGCTTTGGAGATTTGTAACCTTGAAGATGGCAAATAAGAAACCAGGGTGAAGTTGCCCTCCGCCCTATGTCTGTGACTGGTGACATGGAGAATCATCACCAGTATTTTCAGTCATCTAACCAGCACCGAGCCACCGTGCTCAGCCTGTTACAGGCCCAGAAATGCAGATGTGACAATCTGTGATTCCCAAGGCCTCAGGAAGAGTATGAAGGGAGGAAAAAACCCAGAATACCCCATAGGCTCAGGTAATTCCTAAAGCAAGACTCAGAAGCCACAAATGCAAAATTGAGTTTGTCTGAAAAATCCTTATCTTCGAGATAGTAATAGTAGCTTTTTTCTCTCTATACCTGTAGTATCTCACTGCTCTCCTGAACAGAAAAATAAAGTTCTATAGCTTATTCTCACATGAACAATTTGTTAAAGTCTCAGCATCACCCCCCTACCGTAAAATGGAAATTTGCTAACTTATAATGAACGTGCTCATTGCCAGAAACAACCACGCACAGCTAATAATGCCACATTCGCCAGGGAGCGGCCCCAGCATTCCAAACGGAAAAGCAGTGTGGTTGTGAATGCTTTCGGAGGGGATTGGATTCTACTATTTCAGTGATACTCCTAATCATTTTGCTTAAAATGGCCCATGGTGCCTCTGCGGACAGTATTACGATGGAGTCCTGAAATCTCAAGTCAGTCACTGCCACCTGGTCTCCCGTCAGTGATGGGACAGAGGTCCCCATCTGTTGAACCCTAAGCCTCAGAGTGTACTGGGTTCTACTCTCTAGACGTGTGGGGTGGCGCTGCGTGAATCATACCCAATGAAATCGCCCCCTTGTTAAGTAGTCAAGACACTCAATGGTAGTAAGACCAAGTTCTCAAGAGGTAGGACTGGGAGGAACAGGAGGACAGGGGGTGTGTGCCCCTGTCTATAGCTTCTAGGCTAGTGAGGTGCTGGTTGGAAAAAGGGGGTTAGTGAGAGGCTGGGGGCTTGGCTGGTTAGGAACTGCCTGGTAGACCCTGCCACAATGCAAGCCCGTAGACCCAACATCTCCAATGAGTGTTTCCTGTTGCTCCATCCCCTGGCTTGGGCTGCAGGGGGTTAGCAGGGTGTCAGTCCCTCCTGGAACAGGTAGGAGCAGAGATAGGTTGGAGCCAAGAAGACCCTGGGCTTGGGTTCAGGGAAACAAGGAGCAAAGAGCTTGGGAACCTAACTATTTCCAGGAAGGCATGTTCTCAGGAGTCAGCTGCTCCAGGAAAGTGAGGATTCCCTGTAGCTGCTTGTCTGCAAAGTCACTGGGGGAGATGTCTAGATTTGATGAATGTCTTTGCTCCAGAGGGTTGAGCTTCCACCCGTGACTCAGCCCCTGCCATGGTCCACCACTAACATACACTCAGGACACAACTAAGTGGCCCCTATGGGCTTCTCCCGGTTGGGGCCAGGGGCTCCCCATAGCTAACAATTTGAATAAATGTGATAAGCAATAGGTAAGGTTTTGGGTGTGTGCCCAGGAGTGAGCCCAACTTGGGTGTTCACAGAAGGCTTCCCAAAAGAGAAGAAACAGCAGTCCAATCGTTTCCTAAATTGTCATTTGAAGATCTCCCTGCTGCTCCCCTCCACCCCGCTGTCCCCATTTTTTCTAAGATGTCACTTAGCAGACTGCACTTATTAAGGAAGAAATTTATTTTTCTCTTTTCTCATTGGCACCAAGTGGAGACATAGCTAACTGCCACCTAAATCTGTTTGTCATGACAAATTCCCATGTGAATATAATGTGTGTCTGAAATGCCAGCCCACAGTGTGGCCTTCGCCCACCCTCATGGGGGCCTCCACACTTGCCCCTAAGCCCCAGGTGAGCCTTGGAAGGACGCAGCACCAGTGCCCTGGGGGGCGGGGCAGGGAGGTACTCCCAAGGATGCCTTCCCCCCCCCTTCTTTTATTGATTTGGTTTTTCTCCACCTTCTGAAAGATCTGAAGTCCCTCTCAGCAACGAAAGCACTTGGCTTGGGGGAGTCGCTAGTTTCTTCTTTCTCAAATAGCTAAGTAGGACACTCACACCCAATTGCTCCTTTTGAGGCTGAGGGGAGCTCTGTGTGGGGAGATCATGGAGTAAGTGGGAAGCCTTAACCTGAGCCCACCAGCTTCCCACCAGTGGTCAACAGTGAGTAAGAATGACTCACTGAAGTGAGTCCCAAGGCTAACGTCTACGCCATCATGGGGTTGTTCCAATCCTATAGACACGTGGATTATGGGGCATTGAGTTCAGCCCTCACTTTCTCTTATTCCCCACAGTAACTGACTTAATCTCTACAGTTACAGTTGCCTTAATGGGAGAGTGAAGACAGTTCCTGTCTCTGGCGGGCTGATAGTAGATGCTATACAGGGAAACCCTTGGAAGATCACAGCTTGGCGAGGTCGTCCCATGACCGAGTGGCAAGGATTGCAGTGGCTGGTGTTGAGGCTGATACAGTCACTGACCATTTTATCAGCTGCTCACACTTTCCTCTTCAAGGCCCCCTTTGTCTTGTGCTGACCATGTAGGCAAAGCCTGTATCTCTCCCTCCCTGCCCCCCTTACCCCTCTCCACTGGGAGCCATCCACAGGTCACAGTCCTCCCTCCCCTATAAGCCACAGTGCGGGTTTTGGACGGAGAGACTTCAGTCATTTATGGAATGTGTAGATGGCAAATATCAAGTAGTGAATAGTCTCCCCAGGAGCTGTGTAGACCAGATGTCACACATGCCCTTGAAACTCATTCCTTGGACTCAGTTTTGATAATGCAGCCAATGTCCTACCTGTCTGAGACTCAAAGGGAGTCATGGGGTCTTTGTCACCCCAAAGCGCTTGCAGGCTGCTGAGCTGAGCATGGAGGCTTCAGAGACATACCCACCCACTCAGCACAACATGGGGTGTCAGAGGACGCCAGCTAAGCCTCACCAAGTTCTTTCATTATCCAACAGCCTCTACCAGACACCAGTGTGCAGCAGGCACCTGTGTGGGGGTGCAATGGGGTCTCTACCTGGCACCCCAGGAGATTTAAAGCATGATGATTTTTCTAAGTTCAGTGTTCCACCTCAGCCAGAAGGTTCTGGTCTTGGTTGTCAAGGTATCTGAGCAAGAGGCTCCTTTTCTCAGGTCATTAGTTGTGGCACAGTCTGCAGTCTCCTCAGTTACCTGGGGATTATCTCCAGGAGACTCTGCCCCTTTGGGTTTAGAAGAGAGAAGGCAGGGAAACTCTTGGGGCAGCCAGCGTGAGAAGGAACCGCACGAGGTCCCTGGGGGGTGGGTGGGGGGCTCCCAGTAGGCCTGAGCCCGCCTCTGACCCAGCCGCAGGCATGTTTAGCTTCAGTAGCTAAACATCTACACCTCAGCCTGTGTTAGCTGAAGCGAGGATCTTTGTAATGTTGGGGATCTCATTGTAATGTTGGGAACCCATATCAGCGCCCCTTCCCAGAACACCTTCCAGACATCTAACTTTTTAATTTTTTGCTTTCATTTTCGGTGTGAATTCTTGTCCGATGACTCAGCCAGTTTCCAAATGTGACCTCTTATGTTTAAAAACACCGCTTAAGTGAGTACATTTATACACACACATCCTAAATCAACTGGTCTTAAATTTTGAGTGGCTGAGGGGTGTCATACTTAGATGTTGGTTAAGCTAGTTAACCTATTAAAACTACGTACATCTCCCCAGGAAAATGTTCATTATATACACACATATGCAATTCTATACAAATGCAAGGGATTCGTGGGCCCTGTTACTCCCTGTTCAAAAAAAGCTAGATTTAAACAATTAAAATCTTCAGTTAAAATTTTCCCACTGCAAGGGGTGGTAAGGGAGAGCAGTTTTAAATATCCTTTCTTTCAAAAATATAATTGTGGTTGGGATGCATTATGTTACACGGCCAGGTAAACTAATTTGCTGTAGTGCAGTCATTCCTGCTTGATGCATCCAGATCTTTAACTACTGTTATTACCTTTCTAAGAAAATGAGATGTGCATTTGCATTATATCCTTGCAAAAGCACACTGCAGGCCCAACCTGACTGACAAGCAACACAGTTCCCTCGGAGTGCCTGGACAGATACCTTTGCATTACAGTCAGGCTGCACCTGGCTAGTGCACACGACAGCAACTCCCTCCTCTTTGCCCAGCTGGTGGGGAAGTGAACCACGGCCGCACTGGATATTGGCCCCGTCCACATTCCCGGTATTCTTTTTAAAGATTGATTTATTTATGCATACAGAACTGGGGTACAGGCCAGAGATGTGGGGTGGAGAGCAGAACAGGTGCATCCACTGAAATCCACTGCTGAGGGGAGCAGCGGGGAGACAGGAGGGGTCTGCTGTACCCTGTGGGTCACTCCCTGGCTGGGGATCGAACTGGTGCTGCAGTGGCTGCAGCCAGCTTCATAGTGCTGAGACTTAACCCTTTGCACAGCCAGGCAGGCCTGATTCTTGCTATTTAAATTCACCCTTTCATCAGGCTTTAAAAGGTGTTTGGGGCCCTCCCTAGTGGTGCAGCAGGTTAAAGCACAGCACTGCAAAGCTGGCCACAGCTGCTTTAGCACAAGTTTGGTTTCTGGCTAGGGAGGTGGCCCACAGGGTGCAGCAGATGGTCTCGCCCGCTGCTCCCCTCAGCAGTGTACTTCGTCGATCTGCCTGTTCTGCTCCCCACTCTGTCTCTGGTGAAGCCTCTCACCGCCCCTGCCCCTCTGGCCTGTACCCCAGTTCTGTATGCATAAGTAAATACATCTTTAAAAACAAACAAACAGCTTTTGGCTTTATTCTTGGACATGCCATTAAAAAGCTCATCAGCTCCCATTCAGAGCAGGACCTTGGCGGCTGACCGGCCGTTGTCTCAGAGTAGACTCATGTGTGGGCGAGGCTGTGCCCTAAGGACCCGGGTCCTTAACCCTAGCCCGGTGACACGAGCGTCACCCTTCACTGGTTACAGTCTCCAGGCCAGTGGGGCACCAGCCATGGGTGACACCAGCCCTCCGGGAGTGCGGCTGCAGACTCCCTAAGCTGGAGCCCAGCGGACACCCGTGGTCGTGGGGGAGGTCGTGAGGGAGAATCCCCGGCCAGCGGGCGCGGCTGCCTTCTGCCTGGGCTTAGGGCTTCCCTGCCTGGGAGGTGCTGTTGGGATCCCTGGCCCCTTTGCATCCAAATGAAAACAACCCTGCCCACTCCCAGGGGAAACCCCTGCCGTGTTTTTAAAGAGAGGGGTCTTGGGGGCTAGTGGGTTTATGCTGACGAGCTCTGAGAAGACCACAGCCGCGTTCTCCAGCAAACCAGTGTCACTGCTGCGTGTGCGTGTGGCGTGTGCTGCGTGTCCCCGGCTCAACATGCTTGGCTTATCTGTGGGTCCGCTCTGCCCCCCAACCCTGCTGGGACCCTTTGGCATCAGTGCTGTTTGTGTTTGCTCTCCTGCACCCTTCCTGGGGGGTCTCCCTTCCTTGGTGCTTTGCCAGAACCACAAATCGCCTGTGAACTCCCAGGGGCGGGGGACGGGGGCCGTCATCAGGAAGGTTGATAATAAACTACCACCCCTGGGACACACCGTTGTTACAGTCAGGCGCCCTGTGGTCCCGGGGCTGCAGGGCCTCTCCTGCGATCCACTTTATTGCTTAGGAAGTTTGTCAGTTTGCTGTGGTCATAGAGTGGGGGACTTCTCTGCGTAAAGGTTTCGCTCAGGGAATACCAAGAAACTTCTGGAAAGGTGCAGGGCCATTTTCCTGCCTCCTATGAAGCCCCTTGTCCCAGGGAGGAGGACGATATGCGGTGACCCGGACATCGGTGAGGCCAGACAGGTTCAATCCCCACGAGGGGCCTACCGAGTCTGGACAGGATTCATGTGATGCAACATAGGTGTGCACACAGGTGTGACCTGCACACACACATGAAGCACACAGGTGTGTGCGCACATAGATGTGCGCAGAGACACACAAAGCACGGGTGTGTGCACACATACATGCAACACGACATTGTACATGTGTGTGCACAGCGACAGGCACACACAATGCACATATACACGCATGGAGAAACACCTCTCGTGGTGCATGCGTGCTGTGCGCGTCTGTGCACGTGTGTTCACGTGAGCACAGTAGTGTGTGCCCATGTGTGTCCACACGCACACAAGCAATGCACACATACAAACACCCCCTATGTGTGTGCACACGCTTAAACACACACACACACCCATAAGATTAGAGACGTTCTCCTCCATCTACATTTGCCGAAAAGGAATTACTCAGAATCGCCAACTGCCCTGCTGCGGCAGGTGTAGAGAGGACGCAGCCCTGGTATGGTCTGGGCTGTCCGACTCCCCCGGGGGTTCGGCTCCCACCCCCAGTGAAAGTGCTCCACCTGTTGTCCCTACTTTAGCGAACATGTCTCTTAAGCAGGTGATCTTTTGGGGGTGCTGGGAGAGCGGTGTGCTTTGAGTGCAGTCTGCCCCCCATTATCTGTGTCGGCCACTGAGAATGAGCCTCTGCCCGCTGCATGTCTGTGCCTCCCTCGCCGAGGAGGGGGTGTCTGGCACCGAACTGGCACCACCATGCCCTGGCTGTGAGTCAACACCGCCCCCCCTAATTTTCTCAGTCTGCTCCACTGCTGTGCTCTCCGACCTCCTTAACCAGTGTGGACACGCCTCGGTTCCTGTGTTCTGGATCTCGTGAGCAGACTAACTCCACCAGTGCAGGGCTGGTGTGTGTGCATGGGGAAATGCACTAATATGGATGTTTTTCTCTGTGTGTGCACCCTTGCAGTGTTGTTTACCAGGATGGATTTTATGGTGCAGACATCTATGTAAGTATCATTAATGTGCACGCCATCCTTGTTTCCTCCCCGAGCCATTCCGTCTACAAGTTTGCTGCAAAGCTCTCTACTCCACCCTCTTCCTGGGCAGTGGGGAAGCTCCCTGACCGACTTCAGAAGAAAAGCAGACACCCTCCCTCCTGAGAAAAAATGGCCTTTCTCTAATGTTAAACTAAAGACTGCCCCGAAAAGAGAATTCTCTGAAGTTCTCAGTAAGGGCTGTGTTTTCAATGTACTATTTAACACCTATAGGTGTCAGCTGGAGAGGTAAAGGATATTTTCATGGCTTACATTCTCTTATAAAATACGTTTAATCGTTTATCACAACCGTAGAATGATTTCGTCCTCCTTCGTCTCTCCCCCAAGCCTCCTCCCTCCCCCATGTCTCTCTCTCTGTCTCCCTCTCTGTCTCGTTCTGATGACTTTAGCAACAGCTATCTCCTAACATAATGTATACCAGCGGGAGCCTTCAACCCTCATTTCCTTCAACCTCCTCATTCTCTGCATTCCCTAAAACCAGTTACCTGCCTCAGAGTAGTTTGTTAAATGGAAGCACTTTATTTAACTTCTCATTTTTAGAACAGAGTAGGATGTCTGTCATCACCAGGACCTCAGCACTCACCTGGGCTGATCGCGAAGTAGTTGTGTTCCCACTGTTATTTTAGCAGCGATGTTGTGAAAATAGCTCAGAATAAACAGAATTTAAATTAAACGAGCAGGATTGGGGCGTTCCTAAATTATACATATTTTTTATTACAAGTGACCTCAAGAAAGTTCAGTGGAATCATATTTGTCACTTTATAGACTGGATAACAAAGAAAAATGAAACCGTATTTCTGATGAAATTGATGCCATTTACTAGAAAATGGGAGAGACACTGGTTATTTAACTTTCCTCCTTTGGAATTTCAAATAATTACAATTTTGAGACATAGTATTAATCTCCATCAATGATGGACCTAGCTGGTTCTATTATTATGGCAACAAGTACATTTATTATCATCTGCAGGGATTGTTCCATCACAAAACGAGGGAACGGCTTCAGCGTCCTCGATTTCCCCAGTGAACAGCCGATTTCCTTACTTGGGTAACATGGGCTGCCCCTTCTCGTGCCCTCTGCTCGGCACTTTCGCTTCACATCGTTTTAAATATCGAAGCACCCAGCGCTGGCCCACACCCTCAGAAAATCAGTCAGCTAGAGGTCTGGCAGCCCCGGGGGACCCTGGCTGAAGGTTGCACCGGGAGAGGGTAGGACTGTTGCAGGCAAGTGAGTTAGGGCTTTTAAAGAGGGTGAGAAGAGAGGCGATGCACAATCGGGAGAAAGAGAAGAAATAGACTTCCCCAGCCCCCACTAAACAATGGGGTGTCTCCAAGGCTAGCTGCAGAGAGACGCAGGTAACATCAGCTACTGTGTCTTCTGTCTGCGACTCCATCCCTTGGGTTGCGAAATGACAGGGCTCATCGGAACGAGGGTGTTTCAGGTGGGTCCCGTTTGCTCGCCTCATAGATGCTGGAGGAGCAGGAAGTAGAAGCCACCCACGGCTGGAGCGTCTCAGGGCTCACCAAAGCCCCAGGACGCCTGAGTTCCAACAGAGGGTTGAAACTCAGTAAGGGGCGGGAGGTGCGCCCCAGACTGAGGTCAAGTGGGGATGCCCCCCCCAGGAAGACTGCAAAAAGCCCTAGTGTTCCTGACTCCTTACAAGTTTCAGGCTCCCACAGAGTCGTCATATTGGGGCAAAGACCAGGCTCTCAGGGCTGCTGTAGGGGTGACCTGGGAAGGGCACCCCGGCCAGTGCTTCTGAAAGTCTGTGCTACTGAGGTTTCCAGAACAGTCGCTCTCACCCTTTTCAAGGTGTCCTTAGACAGACAAGAGAGTCGCACCATCTCCCCACGGACCATCTGAGAATGGCAGTGGGATTTTGCAGGAGACGGCTTCAAACACCCGAGGGGCCAGAGAGCTGAGCAGAGGCGCCAGCTTTGCGTTGGTCACCCAGCGTGTGTGTGGTAGCCAGGACCTTGCAGACCTTCAGGATACATTGCTCTGTGGAAGATGCCGGCTTCAGGCCCTGGCTGCCAGGAGGCTGTGTCTGTGGAGATAGCGAGCTCGACTTCATCACTGCAGCAAAACAGAGCTTGTCCATGGTGCTCAGTGGATGAGGGTCAGGAAGGACGTGAGTATCGGCTGAGCATGAGAGCACCCAGCCTGGAAGGCTGCTACCCCTGCCTCCTTGGGAGAGGCTGTTTCTGATGCATAGAAAGATCCTTGGTGCTTTGGTTTTTAAAGAAATGATGATTGCGGAGGTTTATAGCAAAGCAGGCAGGTTAGATTTCACTTCGAGGAAGTTTCTGACTTGCTTCTTCCATCTCATTCACATCGTGCATAGGAAATAGGACGAGGGTGTGAGGGGCTCGGTCAGCTCTTGCAGGCTTATCTCAGCGATGGTGATGATAATTTATTTGTTATTTTATTGGACAGAGGAGCAAGTGTCTCTGTTGGGGTGCTTCCCCGTCCCACCTTGTAGTGGAGCAGAGCCCCTCAGCAGCAACTACCATAGCACACAGCAGTGACCCCCAGAGCGCCTTTCTTCCCCTGCCCTTAGTAGCCTGTGTGAGCCAAGGTCTTTGCCTTCCTCCCACTGGCTCTCTGAGCCCTCAGGCATTTCTCCAAACCCAGACACCTGCAGGGTCCCTGCACCTGGGGAAACAGGCCCTCCCACCTGGAGCCCCTTCAGCTCTGCAGGAGAGAGAAGGGCCAGTGGGAAGGTTGGAAAGACCAGAGGACCCGGCACTGCTGGGGGCGGGCCTGTGAGGAGCCACAGAGCACAGTAAAGTGAAACCAGTGATGCAGGTGTGTGCTGAGCAGAGAGCAGTCCTCCTGTCGGGGAGCTGAGCCCTGAGCAGACTCTGCCCCCCACCACCTGGCCCTGGCTCGCCCAGGGTGGGTGTCCCTTGGCACATGTGACGCAGGGTGTCCCCAGTAAAGTAGGGGAGTAGGAAGAGTCATCTGCAGACCCCTTTTACCTGAGGACATGATGCACACACACACGCATGCTCACCCACATTGCAACAGCTAGGAATTTCATTTATGTCACTAGCATATCAAATGTACAAGATCACTATTAGCGCTTAGAGGAGCACTTTCTAAAAATAGTTTAATTCCAAAGGGAATCAAGTTAAAAGGAGACATAGTAGCGGTGACGCTGGATGATGTGCAAAGCTCAAAGTTCCCTGGACCTACAAAGCAACCTGTTCCGCCCAGGGGCGAGGCTCCAGGTCCCGTGAAGCCAGGATGGATCCAGGAGCTGAAAATGAATGTCGTGGATCTGAACTTCACTGACACGTTTGTCTCCGCCCACTGAGGCAGAAATCAAAAGATGCTATTGAAAATGGACAGAAGAAAATTATAGAATAAAGCTGTAAAAGAGACGCTGGCAGGAGATGGCGAGTTGTGGACACAGGGGAGGAAGGGAGAGTGGGAGTGAGGTGCTGATGTGAGCCATCGCCCTTGGTGAGGAAAGTCCAAGCTTCCTAACGTGAGTGTGGCCCTGAGAGCCCAGCAAATAGGTCTTGATAGGCCTCCAGTGCATTTTTACGTCTCTATCCTTCCACTCGTTGTAACTCTGTATAACAAGTTTCTGGTTGACACCATGGCTAAGCACAATTATTTCTGAATTCCTGTCTCGCTGCCACCGATGGATCCTAGAACACAGAGTTGTCCTCATTTCACCAATGTCTGCGCTTCGTAAGACATCGAGAGGTGTCGGGAGCTTTGCAACACAGGAAGCTGGCAAAGCAGACAGCCTCCAAATAAAACCCCAGGTCCTTATCTGGAGACCCCGGTCTCCGCGTGGCCCTCTGTGAACCAGCTTTGCATGGCCAGGTAGCCCAGGGCCAGGCACCCGAGAATTGAGCACATACCATGTGTGAGACAGGACCCTCAGCCTCCCGCCCCGCTGTCTGTGTCTGTCCCCGCTGCCCGCCTTTAACAGGAATCAGTGCTTATTTCTCCACCGCCCTTTCCGACAAAGACACTGCTCCTCAGAAAAGAGATAAAGTAATGGACATCTCCGCTGATACTGGGGGTTTGCTGCAGAGCGCAAGGCTGGAGCCCGGAACCCGCAGAATAGCAGTGCTCCCCTGGCTGGGCTTTGGGAAATGCAGGGGAAGGAAGGAGAGGAGAGAGGGTCACTGTGAGCGTGACCGCCAGCGGTGGGCAGACTCCCGGGCACCATGGCCACAGGAAGTAATGAGCAAAGGGATCGGGGCGAGTAGGGAGAGTGTGCAAGAGGGGAGAGAGAATGCAGTGGAATTCTGATAGACTTAGTGCACATGTTTAAAATTTAGCTTAAAGAGGAAGACTATGGTTAAGTAAAACTCAACTAAACAAGAGCCATATCAGATAGATGGATGGGTGCGTGGGTGGGTGGATGGGTGGATAGTCCTTTATATTATACAAAGGTATTATAAAGCCATATATATGCACATGCATCCATGCCTAGGCATGGATGCATATAAAACCTTTTGGAGGTAGGTCCTGAAATCCTTCACGGGTTCAGCTGCCTTTATTTCCACCCCGGAACTGGAAGATTTCGCTTCAGAATACAGTCTTCCATGTTGAAGATTAGCCTCGCCCATGGTTATCTCTCCCTGTCAAAACTTGTTCCCCCTGCTATCCTGGGCTCTACAGGACCTCATCCTTGCGACAGCAGGTGGCTGACACACAGACCAGCTCTAGCCTTTCTTGACACCTGTGCACATGCGTGCTCACACACGCTCACACAGTCGTTCGGGTCATCTGTCTCCCAAATAGCTTTGGCAGCTTCCATGTGATACATTACCCAGAAAATGCAATTGTGCTCTTAGTTGTTCATTGAAATTAAATTCAAAAAATGAAAGTGTTGATAGCTATAGTTGTAACTCGGCTGTCACTGCAATTGTTTCAACAATTAGGATGAAAATGAAATCCTCAGGGACTCCAGAGAATGAGTCAGGGATCAGGACATTTGAAACAGTTCGCTTCACCTATTGGCATAGACTTAGCAATGTAAGAAGCCATGAAAATACCCTTTTCTTTGAAACACAGGTCTAACACAGCCCTCCTGGATATGCTCTCGCCTCGCCTCTGCTGCTCTTGCAGATATTTGCAGCTAATAAGGTTTGGTGCTGTCTCTTCCCCTTTTGGCCAGCCGGGACACTCTTGGGTCTTCGGGAAGTAAGAGAAGCAAACTTGTAAATGAATCGCTCGGGAATTTCTGTCTGACTTATGCATTTTCTTTTCTTTATTTCATTTGTACATTGAAAACATTACATTTCTGTTTCCTTATAGAGTAGTGTATCAAGAGCCTGTGTATGGCAATAAATTGCTACAGGTATGAAATCCCGACTGGGGAAAGCTCATCACTGCGATTGTGGGTTGCGGTGAAAATCTACTAACAAGATACTGTCGGGGCGGGGAGATGTTTTCTAACAGAGAAAGAGGGAAGACTTAACTGAATTTTCCAGTTTTGATGAGAATTCTACGAGCATAGACCTGGCCTCCCTTAAATGTCCCCTTTCTCTTCTGAGAATCCACCGATTGGGTGAGGACTGTTCCTTGGCACGCTGTCAACAGCCTCCAGCTGTTCCAGGTCACCACCATCAAGACAGAGGTGTGGCTGGCTGGCCTTTTTTTTTCTTTTTTTGGCTTAAGAGGAACTCAATTTATATAAGGTCATGAATAGAATAACAGGGTTCCACTGAATCAGTTGTCCAGGTGACGTGTTAGTAGGTTTCCAGGGCCTGCAGGAATGGTTAAAATCAAGCGCCCTGCACCTCAGGAGCTGCCTCATAGCTTCCCTGACACCTTGTTTCATGGTAACTTCTTGTACTTTTATTTCACACCTATTGCTGTAGCTTTCAACCCTACTTCTCACTACTGAAGCAAATGAAAGAATTTGTAGGAAGACTGAAAGCCAGCACTGGCTCGTGGCTGGGCCAGTCTCCAAATTTGGCCCGTAACCTCCATTAAAGTGTCAAATACAACAAAAGACGAGTGCAGCACTGAGGATGAGCACAGGAGGGTTTATTACAAGGATTTTCCTATAACTTGCAATTCTCATTTTTGTTCAAGATTAAGGTCTATTAAGAAAGTTCTTTTTTTTTTTTCCCAATCTGTGAGGATTCATCAAGTTCCAAAGAAGAAATTGAATACCAAAGTGGAAGATTTGGACCTAGGAAGGGACAAAATATTTAAAATGTAAACATTCCTGAGAACAACTTTTATTTTCAAATTTCCAGAAAACTGGACTTCTTTGTTTACCCTTCAAAACCAGATGCATGCAGAGTACAGATGAAATAGGAGTCATCCTTGATACTCCTTGCAGTTTCTTCCCTTGCAACTATCCTCCTCAATGACCACGTGGGAAAAGGTTAAAGTACACAGCCACACACAGGCACCCGCCCCTGGGTCCACACCTAGCAAGACCTCGACCTCTCCCAACGGAAAGAGGTCATGGTCCCGGAAATCCATCACATGTCACTCCGCAGTGCTCACACTGGGGACACGTGTGCGCTCAGGGAGGAGGTCCTCCTGTGACACCACACGGCACATCACTTCCACCTCTCCCCAAATAAGCCACACGTCTGGGTATTAGATGTCTGTTAGACAAAAACACCCTTTAAAGTAAGGACATGGTGGCCCTGTACATCTGCTGCCAGTGGCGAGCCCTGGCAGTGCTCACCCGCATGGCCTTAGGGTGCCCCTAGATGGAGTCGCCATTGTGTTTTTAACTCAGCCTCCCCAGCCCCTTGGTCATGGGCACGTCCCTCTCCTTTCCCATCACAGTGAAGACCCCGCCTCCAGCACAACCTTGACAAGGTGCTTGGAGCACAGGAGCTCCACCCAGGCAGGCTCAGAGAGCCTCACAGAGCAAATGCTTCCCACCCCTGAGCTGGTTTCTTGCACGGCCACACTGGGTGTGAGGCCCGTCCATCACGGCCATTTAAAATTGATCTTTTTTTAAAATAATAAAGTAGCGTTTCTATTTTTCCATTCAACATATGAAAAGTGTAATCTGCAAAGGGGGGTGTGGAACACTTGGGCTGGCCTCCCATCTGCTCTTCAAAGTCTGACATCACTGTGATTCTGTCCTGAGGGCTAGGAGGACCCCGGAGCTGGGTTTGGTGACAGCTAATGGGAGTGCACACTCCTTCTTCAGCCATCACCACAGAACCTTGCAGAAGCTCTGGCTATGCTCAGTGAGCTGTAAAATATGGAACAATAAAATTGATTAGAGTCACCTGTTAGAAAGGCAAATTAAAGCAATTTGTATTTTTTTGATCATTTTACAGTGTGTGCACACATACACCAGTTAATACATAACTCTGTTACCCTAATATGGGTTCACGCAGGCTAGCAGGAGGACAAAGCCCAGGCAGAGCTGTGAAGCTATCCCCCCACCTAATCCCTTCCCCCCAGTTATCCCATAGATCAGGGGCCTCTTAGAGATGTATTGTCCAGCTCAATTGCTGCCAGTCCCCTGTGGCTAGTTACATTTAAATTCAAATGAGCTTGAATTAAATAAATTAAAATTTCAGTTTATTGTACAAGCACACCTGAAGTGTCTCCCCTATGCTGAGTGGCTGCCTCTCAGAGGTGCTGGTCAAGAACATTTCCATTATGATCAAAAGATGTCCAGAAAGGCAAACTCTGAGCAAGGTCAAAAACTCACCCCTAGCTCGAAGACCAGCAAACTATGACCTTGACTCTTGAATTCTTGAAACAGAGATGTTTGTAAGCAAATTGCTGCATAGCTAGGACTAGTGTGGAGGGCACTCACTGATGGTGCCTGCTTCACCCCGAAACTCTGCTCATTTTCTCGAAATGGCCAGCTCACATGCACATACAGAGAGGCTGGGTCTTCCCCTGAAGCTCAGGTGATAAGAACATCTGTTGTACAGGGAGATCCCAGGGGTCCAGGCATCCATTTTATGTTCACACGAGATCATTTTTTTCCACTTACCAAGCATCTACCCCCTTCCATTGATGGAAACTATTGCAGAACTGGGGGAGTTGTTAGTCTAAAGAAAGGGACATACAAGAGAGAACATTGTTAGAAATCTTTGCTGAGGCCAAATTCACAGTCACAGAATCACGAGGGATTTACATGGCACTTGAGGTAAATATCTTTGCACTCACTAGTCGCAGCTAGAGCCTCGGGCCAATCAGCTAGCGAGAATCAGCCCTCCCCACCTCATTAAGGTGGTCTTACTGTACATGCCTGCACACCTGGGCCTTTTAGGGTGCCTCCTAAAGTTAAGGGGAAGGGCCAGCAGAGGAAAGAGGGGTTCTAGAAACCTGGCGACCTGGTTTCCCCTGGCCCGTCACTCTGCATCCCGAGCTGGGTGCCGGGCTCACACCTGCTCGGCTTTTGCAAATCCTCAGCTCCAGGAAGGAGCCTGCTCCTAATTAGATAACACAGTGTCTGCAGCACCAGGTGGTGGCTCATTAGAACGCTAAGACCTCCTTTTTCAACTTGCACATTGTTTTTCAAGGAAAGCTTTTTAGTATACATATATATACACACACACCCAGGCTCCAAGTTACTGGTGATTATCTGTCAGCAGTCTTGGATGTGTCTTCTCTGGGACTGATGCAAAGAACAAAATCCTTTAAGGATAAACTAGATTGTTCCTGTTGCTTTGTTAACAGAGCAGAATTATTCTGAAAGCTGGATGTGACTGGAAGGTAGAAATACATCATGGAGGACAACTTGCCGCATTCTGAAAGATGCTTCAGCAGCCCCGTTTCCAGCTCTCTTCTACCCTATGACCTGCTTTCCCCTACACATGAGAACAGGCTGTCCCAGATCTGTGACCTTATTGTCATAACCTTACTGACACTGAGTCTTGACCAACTTGCCCTCTGACACACTATTCTGAGACACCCCTTCTGGTGAGGGTGACGACGCAGCCCTCAGAGGATTATGGGACTGCGCGTTATAATTAGAGCCTGAACAGCCCCTGTGTTATCAGCGGAGAGTGGATCCTGTTTGTTAATTGTGCTGAGATGGTTCCACCGTGCTGGGTGTATGGCTGTGGTCGACTGAGCAGGAAGCTCTGTTATTTTCACAGTTTGATAATCAATGCTTCACTAAACACAATTCCTTTTGAATATGCCCATTTGCTTGTCCACTGCTTAATTGAACAATTGCAATTACTGGTACATACAACTAAATGTTAATTTTTTTCAGATTTTTTTCTCTCTTAATGATCTTATTTACAAATTAGAAGACTTTATCATATTTTCCACACCAAATTCCCCTTCTGAACCAGGGTGGTATCTTTAGCTAATAATAGGACTTTTAGAAAGCATTCCCCACTCTGGTTTTACGTAATGATGCACCATTTAGAAAGCGGAAGCAGTCTTCTTTTACTGTTAGAGGTTAAACTCCATAGCAAGAGGCAACTGATGTGATGGTTCCTTTTTAATAAATAAAAAGGTAAGACAGGAGGGCTTTCATTGACCTATGTTTGGAAGTGATCAATGACTGTTTCCATAAAATGTAAGTTAATAGCTAATGCATAAAAGCAAAGCAGAACCCTTTCGAAAAATCTGGAAAGTTCAGCAAAGTACACGAAGTGTTGAAATAATCACCGTAATCCTCCGGCCGAGACAATCACTATTAACATGTCTGTCGATGTCTTCGAGGGGAATCTGGGGTGTCCCTTTGGGAAGCGCTTGAGGCTGCTAACCTTTAACATGGGCTGGGGCCAGTTCAGCACCCGCCTTCCTGGCCAGCGCCCACCGCCCCTTCACACTAAGCTTCCATTAACCTCCACTTCAGCCTGGGAGACGTGGGTCACCGCTGCCCCGAGGCCCCATGGCTGGGGAGCCTGAGCTGGCGGCCGGCACCCCGCACCCCTAAGCGCGTTCTCCTTGTGTTGCAGGGTGGCTACGCTGCTTACCGCTACGCCCAGCCTACCCCTGCCACTGCGGCTGCCTACAGCGACAGGTAAGCCCTGCTCGTGCCCGACAACTCCTCGGAGATAACTTAGCTGGTGGGAGCAGAGGTTCTCGTCTGGTCTTGGTGCAAATGCATGAGCGCCGGAGAGGCAGCACCCGAACATTCAGGTCCCCTGGGGAAGGTCAACCCGGGCCCACGCAGAGAAAGAGAAGCGGCGAAGGCCGCGCCCTGCGTGTGGTCCAGCTCTCGGCCAGTCCCGCACGGCTGCCTGCGCGCGCACTCGCCCTGCACGACCGCTCGGCCTCTCGGTGAGGCCGTGTGCAAAGATCTGTAGGACAAACCAGAAGCTGACCCGCAGGTTAACGCCACTCATTTCCTTCTTTGACCGTTTGCCCCGCCCCGCCTCCCCACAAGCATTCCCTCCATTGCATTTTTAAAATTCAAAACCAAGGGCTACTGAGTACACCCGGCCTTCCTGAGGAGAACCGTTCTTTTTGGCAGCACCCAGTGTCCAGTCTAGAACAGAAGCGCGGATGGGCAGTGCGCTCCACCCCTGGAGGCTGGCCGTGGGGGGGGGGGGGAGGGGTCGCAGAGTGAGCCTAAGACATGCAGGATGGAAGTTAGTGCTGGGGGCTTCGGGGGAGGTGGAGGAGCTCTGTCACCCATCACCCCGACCGAACAGATGACTGGGTTCCTGAAATGGCAAGCCGCAGCTATTTTCTCTAGGTGCCTTGAAAAAGAAAGCGTGTGTTTCCATATTGAATGCGACTCTTGGCTCTGTTTTCTGGGGACACGAATGTGAATGTTTGGAAGCTCTGCATGTACAAATGTCACTGAGGATGCTTATTTTTGGTGATGACTCCTTTGATTTAAAAATATGTCCCATGAATAAAACAGCACTGGGAGCAATTTGCATGTGTGGCTGAGGCATGCTGGGCCAGACAGGTAAGCGGGGCGATGTGTCTGACTCCTGAACAGGGTGTGTTAGCAGTCACTGGGCTCTTCTCTGGCCTGCTGTGATTCAGCTCCTATCTCGGTTTGCTGTGGTGTGCTTTCTCTGCGATTCCATTCCATTTCTCACAAGATGTGTTAGCTCATTATAGCCGCAGAATTCTACTGAGGTACAATCAAGCAAAATAAATCTCTGAACCCTAAAAGCTGTAACTTTGAAAAACCCGTGCATCAACTTGTAATGAATGACTCTTTGAGAAGAGAGAATGGAGGTCTGCTGTCTGGTTTCCGCACAGGTATTATGACTCTTTTGCTATAAACAGCCACCACCCATCCTCAAGGCTAGAAGAAGCCTCCAGAGAAATTCCAACCATTGTTATGATGAGTGCTAAATCCATCAATTATCCAGTTAACCCATCAGCAGTTGCCAAAATGTGTTTTATGTAAGATGCTGCCTTCAGTAAACTCTGACACTAGCTTAAGGAATCAGCGAGGGTCAATAAGGCTAATAAAAATGATGCCAATCTTGAATCAGCCTGCAAATGAAAAGTCTTAATGCGATTGAATCCTGCACACAGCAGATTCTCAAAGTATCAATTGTAACGCAGTTCATCTGCAACCCTTAATTATTTTTATGAAAATATCTCTAGATGCTAAATTCTCAAACACCCACTTTGTGTATAATTATAATCATAGTAACTTTAGCCTGCTGTATAATTACGAGAATCTTAAATGGATTTATTTCTTTGGATTTTTATCTTCCCTCTCAGGATAAGTACATCTAGCTTCAAGTTGAAAAAAGGTTAATTACCAAGATGTAATTTAAATTGCTTTCTTCAATAAGACTCATCTACAAATTTCAAAAAAATAAAAATAAACAATGTTTAATACTATTCTTAGATACAATTACTTGAGAATCTGGCCATCTCTGTTTGTGTTCCTCTAAAAATGAAGTTAGAAATTCTGCTGCATTTTGGGGTGCCATACGTGCAACTATATGTACAAAATCTGTCATTTGAATATTATTATGATTTCTCATAGGCAGCATGCCCTGCTGAAAAATTACTCTCATTCTTGGATTGCTAAATCTTGAGCAATTCTGCAATTCCCACATCAGTAGAATAGTTTCAGCTGAAGGAACCATCTAAATATCCTTGTGTCCATGTAATTGGCCTCTTGCTATTCATTAAAGAAATTTGCACTTTCCTTCTTCCTGGTTGCCGTGGAAATTGATGACTAGCTCTCCTTAGTTTTATTATAAACAAGTTACATGCCACCTCTGAAATTATTGCATTGAGATAAATGTAGTAATAGATGAATTACCAGAAAGCAATCTTTAAAATGACACTTCTGGCTTGATTTATAAGGCTTATTTATGAAATGGTGGTCCTCCCTTTTATTTTTGGAAAGCAGCTATAGAAAAGGCAGACCTTTTTATGGAAGATGCATATTTGGGGGGAAACGCGAAATTATTGGCAGAGTCTTTCAGTCTAGATCAAAGATGCCAAATCTCTAGAATTTGTCCTAGGGTATTGCACTAGCACACTGTGGTAACAGCAGTGAGGCAGTGTTAGTTGCTCTCCTCTAGAAGGCAGGCAGGTTAACAAGGACAAAGACTTCTTGACCCAAAGAAGCTCCTTCACAGTAGCAAGCAAAACGAGCAGGCGTGAGATTGGGCGATACTCCTTGGTCGTCATCAGCTTGCTCAGAAGAGAAACTGCAGCAAACTCTCCTTGTGCTCGTGAGATTTACTCTTCAGATGTCTTGAAAATGAGAAGACTTTGATGTCCCTAGTTGGTAGAATTTTACCTTTTCTCGGCACAAATTGAGACCTCATCAAATGAACGATCCAGGGACCTTTGGAAAACACTGAACTCCAGTGACTTCAGGATTGTCCAAAAGGTCCTCGATGGGCACCCACTTCTCGGTTAAGGGAACACACGCTGATTATCTCGGCACGTCCTGAGACCTGCCGAAGGCCGACCTCCGGAATGAAGACCATCTGGTGTGGACAGAGATTTGCCCCCAAGAAAAAGACCTGACTGGACTAGGTCATTCCATAGTCCCGCCGAAGAGGGTCATGGGACTAGGCAAACATCTTTGCTTGGCCCTTAGGAAGCCTTTGGTAAGCACTTGACCTCACCCGACCTTTTTGTTTGATCTCACTTTGATTTCTGGAAAGCCAACCGTCCAGACTCTCCGAGGAGGTTGTTTTCTGAGCTTGAGCCAACCAAAGCATGGCAGGGGCGACGGTCATGTGGTCATTGCATGCTCCTTGGCGTGGCTGATGTGTCCGTGATGCGTTCTGGTTGGACAGGTCCATCCTCACAATAGCTGGGTGAATGGCTTGCTTGAACTAAGCCTGGGGGCAGGCTTCTATTTCTTGACTGGCTCTTGGTTTCTCTGTGTATTATGACTTGGTCCTTGTTGCATCCTTGAGTAGCCACACTGGGAGGTGGGGAGGTCGGACGATCCTCTGTGTCATGGATTGTCCCACAGATCTGGGGGGACATATGTGTGATGTGTACATAGCTTTGAGAAGAACATCATCTCACCAGAAAGGCAGACATCTGTCATGCTCGTCCTGCTCGCTCAACATCCCAGCACCTGATAACTGTGCATGAGAACGTCCTCCCACCTCAGGGCAAGGGAGAACTAGACCAGCTGGGGGAGAAGGGGACACAGAGAGGTCACTTGGAAACCTCCTCACAGCTCGGTTACCAGGGACCACTTCTTCCTTCACGCAAGATGTGCATTTCCTTTAAAGATCCCTGTAAATCAGCGGCAGTAGCTCAATTGCAGTCCCAATCTCCCAGATGACAGAGAGAGAGGCCAGCAGCAGAGTTGTGTTTGCTTTATTTTTCTGTGCCTTGTTTGGCTGTTAGATGGCTTCAAGTTTTATTGACCAGGTAGTATTAGAATGTACCATATGAAACTGACATTTTTTGCAAGACAAAAATGATAGAATGTTGGCAATTTCATATGACTCAACTTAAGAAGCCATATTATCAATTATCTTGCTCTCTGCATTTGAAACATACATGTATATGCCTATAGTTATGTGCCGTGTGTACATATATTTATATATATGTGTGTATATATATGTGTGAAGATATATGTATATACATATATGTATGTGTATATATATAGAGAAATATATATACAGCACACACATACACCTGTGCCTCAGGATAGGAACTCACAAAGGACTGATGAGTGTATCTGGGAAAGGCTTAATTGAAGGAGGCAGATTCAAGAGTATAGGCACATAGGCACTCACAGCTTCAGCTGGGACATCTCTTATGTCTGAAATTATCACCTATGAATACAAAATTCTATTTCAGAGAAATGAATATGCGTAGCTCTTTTTAAGCAGGCATATCTTTGGAGTCATCTTTGGTGAAGTTGGTATACTCTTAATTCAAAATTACATAGATAGATAGATAGGCAGACCAATAGAAATATGCATAGATGATCAATAAATCTGTACATAGACATGCAGATGATTATAGATGAATGGAAAGAAGAGAGGGAAAGAGGATAGGAAGGAGGGAGAGAGAAGGAAAAAGTGAAAAAAAAGGGAAAGGAGGAAGGGATTGTTATGAAAGGGAGGGGAGAAGAGAGGAGAGACAATACGATCTTTCCTAACATACGATCTTTTCCTAAGTCTAACTACAGGAACTAGAACTAAATCCCTATACACAACTTCAGCTGCCCTTTCACTGAAAAGGTAAAAAGGGATTTGTGTTGATTTGTGTCAGTGCAGTTTCTGCCTATGTATTTTAGGACTTTTACTTTGTGGCAGAGATTAAATATACAGAAATGCTGTTGTTAAAATAAGGTTAAGATTTACATTTAAAATGATAGACCATTTTATTTGGAGTCCTTCACAAATGGCATAGCGTGAACATGGAGGACTGGCCTGCCTCTCCTGCATAAGTGTGTCCCCAGTAGAAATCAGTTCACATTTAAGGTTTTCTTTTTAGTTTTTAGAGAAATGTTAATTTAAAAACTATTGTTGTATTGTAGAGACTTAACAATTTTACTTTTTTCTGGCTGTGAGAGAGAAAACAGAAGCAGACAGAGGAGGGAAAGCT